GGGCTGGGTGTTAGAAGCAGCTTGGGAAGCAAGAGGAAGGAGGAAAAATGTGCCTATATGATTACCTCAGACATCTGAAAGAGCTGACTAATTTAGGGTGCAATTCTGTTCAATTTATGTAACCCTGCCAACTAGCTAATACAGGCCACAAATTGATTCACATATTTTTATCATGTGTTGCTCTCAAATCATAAAGTTACTTCAGAGAAAAATCAAATATTCAAATGTATGTTTTATCAAATATCTTTGTAATAAAAATGTGCATCATATCATTAACAAATGTACAATTCCAGTGTAATAAATATTTTATTTATTTATTTAAAACTTTTGTATGCTGTCATCACATGCCTCGGCATCTCAGGATGGCTTACAACGTAGAATTAAAACAATAAAACAGTAACAAGTACAGTAAAATTATATAAAAACAAAAACAAAAAAGCAACTATTAACGATAAAATTAATTTTTAAAATAGCCATTAAATAAAACGGTTTTAACCTGGCACCAAAAAGAATATAGACTCTGTGCCAAATGCACCTCTCCAGAGAATGCATTCCATAACCTGGGTGCTACCTCAGAGAAGGCCCTGCTCAGGGTAGTTGTTCTTTTCATCTCCTTTAAAGAGGGCTCCCGGAGCAAAGCCTCTCCCGCAGATTTTAAGGGACGGGAGGGCATGTAAGGGAAGAGGCCCTCCTTCAGGTATCCTGGTCCCAAGTCCCCCAAGAGAGTATACTGCATACAAACAGAAAGGCTGTACACAAGATCTCCAAGCCCATCTACCCTAATTTGGAGACCTCCCTAGTTGTTGTGACATCTGGTGTGCTTAAGCATGGACAAAACACTCTAGACACAGAAAACAAATGGTAATCCTTTATTGAGGGAGTCACGATCCAAAAATAAAATTCCTGCTTGCCCCTTACAATATCAGGTGAGTCCTTTTATACCAAGCACTAACATCAGGGCTTCCATACAGCAGAAACCAAATACAAACATATATTGTAACAGTTGTAGACCATGCAATATGGACTCCAGAGGGGAGGTTTAGTTTCCTCAAGTACCAACCAGGGAATATAGCAAACCTCAATAAAAGTGGTGGTATTATCTTATGCCTTGGCTTTAATACTCCAGCTTTCTTATTTTGACTCTCTTGTGTCCTTCTCTTAAGTTACTTTTAGGCTTTCTCGGTTTGGGATTTGTCACAACGTATGTCTCGGAAAGCCTCATGAATGCTTACCTCACGGCAGCTGCATTGCATGTTGTGATCTCCCAGCTCTCCGTCATCTTTGGAATTGTAATTGACTTTCATTCAGGCCCTTTGGCATTTTTTTATGTGAGTAAATACAGCCTCAGTGAAAAGCCATTCCTATTTCTTTATGAGGGAGACAGAGGTCGGCCCCAGAAGTTTCAGATAGATCATTAGTGAATTTAAATAGTGTCTTCAAATTGCAAAAGGAGTGACTTACTGTGAAGACTTACTGTGGTTTTGTTTGTCTGCTCCGCAGTTAATAGGTGAATGGTTCCATGCTTATTTCAAGAAAGGGGAACTGAACATTAAACAGGTTCTGCTGTTGTTTCTGGGTTGCAGACAGAACTTGATGGATCAGGAGACCTGCAGGAAGGGATTCATTCAACAACACTCTCTGAGCTGTAACCTATAGCTGCTATCTCCAACCTAAAGCTGTCCAGATGTTTTAGGGACAACTCCCAACCTTTCTGACCATTGCCCAGCCTGACTAGTGTTGATGGGAGCTGAAGTCCAAAATGACACCAGGCTGGGGAAGCCAAGCTGACAGGTGTGGCTCCAATAGTTGAGCTGCCTTCTTATACTGAAGTGGGATGGGACCACAAGGAGTGATGCAGTGGTGTACTACTTATAAGCTCAGCCTCTGCTTCAGCTGTGCATTGTAAACCCTGACCTGTTACATCCCTGCAGTTTGAGAGCCTATATTCCAGTTTTCTAATTGGCACAGGGCTGCTGGTAAACTGTGAACATTTTAATAGAGTCATACCCCTTTTACTACAGTGAAAAGAATTTCATTTTACATTAATTTGCTTTTAAAATGTATCAGATTTAGCTGTATGCAATTTATGAAGTATGTAAAGCAGTAGGCTTCCATCTCAAACTGCATCCATTAACTAGGCTGTCTGTGTATTCACTATATATGTACAAACCATTGTTGGGGCCTTGAGTCAAGCAACTGACTCCCAAGTCTGACTCACGTTGCATCAGCGATTCAACTCGGACTCAACTAGGGAGCAATAAACGAGTGACTCAACTCTACTTGAGATTTCTATTATTTTTACACTTTTTGGGATGAGGGAGGCAGTGGGAGGGAGGGACAAGCGGGTGGGGGGAGGGAGGGTCAGGGTAGTACCTGAGTTATGTACCTATGAGCACACAGACTGCCGTTACTCTATGTGAATGTCTCTAATGAAAAGCCTTGATTATTTCTAGGGAGCTATACGACACTATGTCATCACTGTGTGCATAGTTTCTTAGAGATATTCACAGCTTTTCATTCCGCAGCATCTCAAGCGTACCCAAGCCAATGTGTTTGGGGCACATGTAGGGCCTCAGGGATGAAGCAGAACCACAGCAAAACAGTTTCTAGAAAGGGCAGAAGCACCGGTGCTCAGATGACTTCTCCCTATTCCTCTGTTGATATTCATTTAAAGCTTGAAATCCTGCTTTTATTCACAGCTTCTTAATTGATGAAGTAACATTAACCCTAAAATTAACTGATGATGATGGAGATGAACCTCATGTTGCAGAGTCAGGATTTGATTGTGCTGCTGGAGCGGGGGTCGGGTAACACTGGAGTCGCTTTTTCAAGATTATTTGTATGGCCATTTTCTTTTTCTCATCATAAATGGCCTTGTAGCAGCTGTGGGCCTGGTTAGATAGGCAGATGCTAAAGGGGAACTATATCAGTATTAGTATGTCCATACTATAGATGCCGAATGGGGAAATGATGCTGAATTGGCAGCAGATGGGGCGGGGAGAGATGGGAGACACAACCTGTCTGAGTAGTATTGGGCAGACTTGATCCCCTCCAAAGTGGCCAACAGGCCTACAAATATTACCCTGTTCTATAAGGAAGGAAGGAAGAAAATTAGTTCTGATTATTTTCTCTGTTTTGTTTTAGTTTTAGTTTTGTTTGGAACTGTGGTACTTTATTATTCTTATGGTTTATTGTAAATTAGTAAAGCAACTCAGAAATATATCCAAAAATGAACAAACAAAACCAACAAACAATATATAGTACTTTAAAGTGCTCGAAATGTGTCATATTCATTATCATACTGTAATCTATGCAAGAATGATAAGGACCTAGCTTAACTCTAGAAGACTCTGCTTTGAAAGAATGTTGTAAACTGTTTTAAGAACTATTTCTTTTATTTGTTTCTTACAATAATGTAAATCTACACACATACATACAGATTCTCTCTCTCTCTCCCCCCCAGTACTTGTAGTTATGTATTATTATTATTATTATTATTATTATTATTATCGATACAATGCTGTATTGTACTTATGATGTTTCAGTGAACATGGCAGTGTTTCTTAAGCGTTTTTATGCACAGAAAGGTGAAATATATGCTTGTACTAAGACAAACATTTGGCTTATTTATGTGATCTGACATACATACAAATTTGACTTAAGAACCTTCTCAGGAACGGAACTCATCTGAGGACAACCTGTATAGGGGACTTTGCCCTCCTTGGCAGGAAGCACATGTGGCTGTGGATTCTGCTTTTGGCATCCACCCATGTGCACAGTTTGAATGCCTCCTGGAAGGCAGAAAACAGTATGTGCTGCATGTGCCAGGCCAAACATGACATATGTTAGAAAAAGCCAATGTGGGACTGGAGAGACCCAGATTTAATTCAAACTCATAACCTAAGCTTGATTGAAGACCTTGGGCCAGCTCTCAGCGTAACTTACCTCATACGGTTGTTATGAGGATAAAATATAGGTACAGTTCTTGAGCTCCTTGAGGAACAGGCAGGACAGAAATGTAATAAAACATAATAAATATCATTATTATGAAGAGGGCACTTGAATGGTAGACTTTACTTTGCAGAAGCTGCTTTATCATCTTTCAGGAATGTGGTTAGGCCTATGTCTTCTTTTTTCCAGTTTAGCTCTCTGTCCAACTGAGTGATGAGCTAAGCACAGTATTATTCTTGCAGAGTCCCTGCTTCCTCCTTTCTTCAGCACAGTTCTGTGAGCATTGTCTGGGTTTGCATGGCAGGCAAAGCCACTGCTGGATGGCTTAACATGTTGTCTGAACACCCCTCCGCCCCCAGTACCCCTGATTCTGAGGGGGCTTGTTGATAAGCCACCCTGAAATGACTTACAAACCACCCCAACTAGCCACAGCTTGTAGGAGGGTTTAGTAAACCCCTCATGGCTTAGTGTATTGTCTTAACCCAGACAGCATGCTAAGCCACAGGCAAAATGTTAGAGAGCCATCACATATGGGTTATAGTATTTGGGTGCAATATTACAGCCATGTACCTGGGAACAAAACAAACATGTTTCCTTTGAACATGGAGGAATCTATGAAATTCTAATTCTTTAAAATGGTTTGTCTTTATATTTTATATTTATTTATTATATTTAAATCCTGCATTTTTCCTTTCAAGGAACGCAAGACAGCTTACATAATTCTCTTCTTCCTCTCAATCTTGACCTCACAACAACCCTGTGAGGTAGGCTGTAACTGGCTCAAAGTCACCTGGTGAACTCCATGGCTTAAGTGGGGACTAGAACCCAGATTGCCTGAGTCCAATAGCACACTGTTAATCATTGCACTAATCCGGCTTGCTACTTCACTACACTGGTGTAGGATAGACATTTGTGAGATACTTCCCAGTGCCTATAGATCTCCTCTGCTGTAATGTTCAGCTGTGAAGAAAACGTTCTTGCTTACCTTTGTTTTCTCTGTGTATTTTCTGTCTGCCTGTATAAAGTACTTTCTATTCTACTGAACTGGCTTCTGGACAAAAAGCTCTAGGCAGTAAAATGCAAGCCATCATCATGGTATAATGAATGAACCCTTGTAAAAATGAATTCCCTCTGAACATTTTTGTTGGCATTTCTCTTTTTCAGAACTTGGTCTATTACTGCATGGGCCTTCCAAAAGCCAGTTCCACCAGTATACTGTTGTTCTTGCTTTCTTTACTAATGCTGAGGGTCAGTAAATGCATTAAGATAACTTACAAACACTATCCTGTTGAATTTCCTATGGAGTTTTTTTTGGTAGGTATCATATATTATTTGAATAAAATTATATTTATGCACAACAGTCCATCTTTTCTTACTAGATATGAATCACTTAGTGTGGGGTTTTAACATAGAACTGGTCCATGGAACAGTGTTCTTCAAAACTGATACTGTCTTTAGACTATGATTCGGAGGAAAGATTCTCTGTGAATGATGTAGCACTAATATACAACAGGGATATACAGATTTAGTTCAACTCATTCCATCTGTGTTTGTTGTCTACCATCTTTCATTCTGTTGTCTGCTCATTGACAGAATCAGATTTTTTAAAAGGATGTACATGAATTTCATTCCACTTGCAGCACTGCAAATTTGCGTGAATTCCCCCAATATTTTTTTAAACAGTCCACAAGTCTATGCAATTCAGAAAAAGCTGGTCCGTTGCAGAATCTGCAGGCTGGATTCAAAGAAATCCAAATGTATTTGACTGCATAACAGATAGAATAGGGAGGTATCCCCAGGATCAGGATTTGCAGAAGTACAAAATTGCTTAGGAAAAACAGTGGGGAGTGGGCATAGAGGACCCAAAAATAGCCTAGTGAAGGCTGAACATGTTCAGTTGGCATGGAATGCTGATAGACTGTTGTGGGGGGAAAAGAGAAGCTTGGTGGGAGCAGGAATGGAATGGAGCATCCAGAGCAGAAACACTGCACATGGCAGCATTCACTGTTGATCCCAGCTGTGTTCTCTATATTTGCAGTTTGTATTACAATAATAGCAGCCCAATATGGGAATTGTGTTCTTTCACCTGTACATGTGCATTAATCAAAATCTACTGCTGAAGTTAATAGACACTTCCATGTCCAGTAATGGCCTGGAGCATTAAAATGCTCTATTAAACTAATGTTTCTATCAAAGGATGCTAGATATGTTGCCGAACAAAAAACAGACTGCTGGAGAAAAGAGAACAGAATGCACGGGATTTATTTTTAAAGGAAAAGGACACATTGGTTCATTGTGTTTCGAAATTCAGCTTAAAGTGTTAATAGATAATGGACATCCTTCACCAAAAAACTGGAAAAAATTAAGTGACAATTGTTTATTGTATTTCTGAACCTAGTGTATGGCTAACATGCTACAGGTAATGCACTATTAAACATTTATTGCAAAATATATGTTTGCAATGTAGGAATGGATATGGCACTGATCTATATTAAAGATATCGGATCCTTTGAATACTAACTTATTATCAAATAAGGAAAGAATATGTATAATAAAATGGGAATACCAGTGTAGTTTCAGTTTTAGTCACTGTTGTCTGAAGCAGAGTCAAAATTCTTAACCTGATATTAGAATTTCAGGACAGAATTTTTAAAAAACTCTTAAGTATTCACTTTAAGCATATTGCCATTTTTAAAATCTCATGAACTGACTATGCTTCTTTCATGTGATCTGAGAACTAAAGGATACTTGCTTAAATGATCATTGGTAACGTTTATTGACTGGCAGCTATAAGCTAAGAGACTGGTGTTGGGGAGAAACATTTTGTGAACTGAAATCAGACAAGTTGACATATCACACTGGCCCACCTTGGCAATAAGCCTTGGTGGGTTGGTTGCTGGCAAAACCATCCATGATGTGCCTGATAGACAACTGAGCTTGTGGGCTGTTCATCCCCTCCTTCCCCTTTGGTCCTCCCACATGTATCCCAGGGAACTCCATGGCAGGATTAACTTATTCCCCATCCTGATCACATGTCCTTTTTTCACTCACCACAGGTTTTTCCCCCCTCATTTAACCATTTTTCCTTCAGAGATCTCAAGGCCCAGTTTGACAGCAAGGTTCTGGAAACTCAATTTTGACAGTCACTCATAGTCCAAAAGGCATATTTGAAAGGTTGCTAGTAGTTGGCTACCTATTTTTTTAAAAAATTAAATACACCTACAACATGTGCAAATATTTTATACATCATCATCATAATTGCCACAATTGTACACTTGTGGACCTCTGTAGTTTCATGAGTGTGAAAATGGAAAGCTTCCACTATGTAGTGTTAGGATGGAGTATGAACGTTGACCTAGGAAAACCTAATACAGGGTTTTGGATTTTTTTAAAAGCATTTTTCCTTTTCTTGACAGCTATCAAAATACACTTTTGACATATGCAAAACATGCAAAATTGAAATACGCGCGCCTGTCCTACATACAGCAGTTAGTGCTCAGGAAAAAAAGTGTCCATTAACACATCTGGATGCTTTGTCTGTAATGCTAACTGCTGTGTGCAAGTGTTGGGTAAATGAATTTAGTTGAGCTGAGCAGAGTTGACCTGCCATAATACTGCCCTGTATTATTGTGTGTTACAGTCCTCTCTCCAGCTAGAACAGGGCAGTTACCAGCACCATAACAGATAGACAGACAGACTTTGGCTCACATAGTTAATAACATGTTGGATAATTCCCTGTTATTCTTTCACAGATTATTATATTTACCATACTTCGTTCCCAAACTCAACTGGATGCTGAATCCAGTAAACAAGTATTTCAAATGGCACCTGACAGGTTGGTAATCCACAGTGAATATAGC